AAGATCGTCTCTTTTCATGCGTTGTCTACCTGGAAATTTCGCCGCAACCAAGCCCATTGAGAAGCCATATGTAGGAAGTGGGAAATCGTTCCAGCATTTTCGCGGAACATCGGATACCACTCTTGTCCTTTTGTAAGTTATGAATGACTACATTATCTCAGTCGGATAGTAATCAGGGTTCCTCCCAGTCATATCCTGTAGCATCCTTGAGAAATTTGTTCGTTATGAAGTCACCCCGACAAATTCCAGCGTGAGCTGACACTTGACAATTCCTGCGTCTCTTTTGCTAGGATTTCCCTTTTACGGAAGTGTGACAGCGGTTTTGCCTTTGCTAGCTAAGGAACTTGAATGGATAATAATTCCAAATTTTGATTGGGTAAAAGCAAAATGCAGCGGAGAAGCTAAAGCGGATATTTTCGAAAAAATAAGGATAAAAAATTGTTGCTTTCTCAAACTTTTCCGTGTGTGTCACAATTTATCTGTAGAGCCTTTTCCAAAAACATCCCCAGATTCAAGTTTTTGGGAAATTTGTAGGTGGAACTATAATTATGCGTCGCAGTGTAGTTTTCACGAATAATAAGGAAATGACAAAGGCGCATGAAACTCGGTGATTCCATCATTCCTTCAAATAGGTGTGCTTCAAAACCTCAAGCTTTTGCCCCACAGGGTCCTTAACTATTCAAGATCACAGTTCGTATTCAGTCGAGGGAGGTAGATAGGAATAATCACATCTCTGAACATTTTTACCGCTTGCTGCACTGCTCTGTCATTTTTCATTACAACAAATCATAGCACATCGTTATGAAAAAGCGTATGACGGTACCAACTGGAGTTTAGTTTATACAATGCGGCGGAATATTCACAGCTCAGAGGAGTGAACGTCAGGAATTACTCAATAGAAAAAATATCAGCAACAGAAAAGCAAAAATAATGGACGATAATCGAGAGTTTTAGGAAACGATGGAAACGAGGTAGGAAAAATGCTCTCTCTTGATTTGGGCTAGGCAAGGGTGAGGCAAATGGTGCAAAGAGCTCAAGCGCTATCAAAAGTCTTTGAGCTATGACAAACATGCATTTTTCAATCCACAGATATGTAGGGACCACCTAGTTCCTTTTTTGCGTCAATGAGATGG